TAATTAATTAATTATTGTTATTGTGTTTGCATTTAATTATTGTTTTTGTAAATAAATATAAAATTAATTTTTTGATTTATATGTTTAAAAGCGTTTGATTTAAACATTGAATAAATGTCACAAAAAAATTACTTAACAATAGTTAATAAATAAATGCTTTGACTGTATTTCACAAATAAATTTATTAACTATTATTTTGGCTAAAAATCAAAAAACAATTTCGATTAAAATAAAAACAAAAAAAATTAATTTCAATTCATGATCACTTTAAATAACTACTGATTTAAACGTCATTTAATAAATCACTTTAACGTGTATTTTAAACATATGTATAGAAAAAAGCGGACATTTTTGCTGTCATTTTAAATAATCAATTAATTAAATAATTAAAATCCATAACTAATTCACTTAATATTAATAATAATTAATATTTTCAATTACAATGCAATTAATATATAACTATTGTGGCGGCGATTAAGACTTCTTCGGCGGCAGTTTCGGTGTCTCTCTGAACAGTATTTTACGCGATTTGATTGTCGACCACAAGTGCCGCTTCCAGAACGTCAACAGTGCCAACATTGGTATCATTATTAGCAATACCTGGAGTACAATTATAGTTAACATTAGTTATAATTATAATAATTAGTTATTAGTTTATAAACTTTACAAACACTAACACTATTAAAAGTACTGCAAATATTAATAACACTAATCATAAGCATTAGAAACACCCCCTTTATGTAGGAGAGGGCAGGGGTCAGACCCTCACACCTACACTACAGGTGTAACCCTTTGGGTAAGTATAAGAGGTGTGGGGGTAGAGGTAAGGGTCCAAACAAAACTCATTATCACAAACGCATGTCACGGATCGGTCGACACGGGTTCAGGTGCTTCGGGACAATAGACGGGGCAATCAGTCCTATCCCTCCGCACCCACCCATCGTGTGGGCACAACACTACTCACATCGATGGACGCCTTTTTGCGTGTGTCGTACTCGGGCTGCGCGGCCCACGACAGGAAAGTAACCACGTCTTTGGCCAACTGGCTCTGCGTGGCGGGCGTGCCGTCTTCGTAATCGATCATTTCGCTGAACAACGCCTGCGCCATACCTATGGCGCCCGAACCGCTCACAAAGTACGGGTTGAAGTGCATGCCGTCGGCCAACACCACACCCGCCGGCGCCTCCATATAGCCGGTCAGCAGCGAGAATATGTAGTCCTAAGTAGAGTAGTTTGTATATCGGAAGTAGTCGGTGGTCGTCGTCGTCGGTGCCGAGCGTTTAGAAACAAAATTTAATTAATAAAATGGCAAACAATTAAGTAATAATAAAAATAAGGGGCGTTTTCAGGGAGGGGAGAGTCGAGGGTATAGTACAGTATAGTACACCCGTAGGGGGTCTACTGGTAGGACTCGTACCAGAGATCTGAGAGTGAAACACACATACACTGTACGTATGAGTGTTGGGGGCGGTGTGGGAGAGGGGAGAAGTTGGTGGAGAAGTTACATACCTCGCCGCCGTGTCGTGCGAGCACAATAACGCTGAGATCGGGCGGTAGAGCGCCGTTGTTGGCCGCGCGGGCGGCCTCTTCGTTGGGATAGGGAGACGGGAAGCGGTCGAACAGTTTGCCGGGCCGTAGAAACATCTTCCCGGTGTCGTCCGGGCCGTCCAGCACTTGGATCTGTGTTAAAACATACATACATTAGTATATCAATACATGTGTAAAGATGGTGGAGGGGGTAGTGGTGTTTATCATTACCATCACCACAACCACCAGCACCGGGTGCTATACACACCTCTGAGGCCTCCTGCTTGGCCTCGGCCTCCGTATGGGACACACCCACCAGTTCCCGATAGGACACGTACTTCATGCCGTGACAGGCGGCGCACACCTGTTTGTACACCTCATATCCGCGGCGAATACTGTTTGGCAAATTCAACAATAGTTAACATTAGTTAATATAAATTAGTAGTTAATAAAAACAAGGCGGTGAGTTTGGTCCGCGAGGTTTTTGGCGGTGAACACAGAGGTTAGGGGGCGGCGGGGGTCAAGTCCGGGTCCGGAGGGCTAACCCTACCCTATATAGAGCTAACTATAACCAGTGGTAAACCACAAACATCTCAACATCCAGTGTAGTTAACACCCAGAATACTGGGCAAACTCGAGACATTGCATGTCCACTAATACGACCGCAAACACACCTACACCGCCACGTGAGTGGGGTTACCCCGTGGGAAGGGTGGGGGAGTTGGTGGACAGTACCTCTGATGGTCAAAGCCTTTGATAAAGCCGTTGTGACTCCAGGGATAGGCGGGCGGATGCAACTCCAGGTCCGACGCCTTCACCGACTGGTCGAGAGCGTAGTACAGGCCGATAGCGCCGACGCCGGCCACCGCTCCCGTCGTGTATAACTGTGTTGTCGTTGTGTCCATACAGATCGGGTGTTCCGGTCGGGAAAAGGGAGAGAAAAATACGGCAAAAAATTAGTTTTGAAACACTAGTAGTGATGAGAAGTTTTTGGTCACTAATTGTGTTTGAAAACAAGTAAAACCCGATAATTAAGGCCCCGAAACAGGGCGTACACTAGACAGGGAGTAGACTGTAGAGAGTGTACACTATAGCGAGTGTACACTATCTATATATCGGGTGTAAACCCAATGTCAATGTCTTTGCAAAATAATAACAACACTAGCGGTCAGTCTCTGTCTCGCAGGGAAAGAGCTAACCCACACTACACTATAACCCGATGTGTTGTACAATTATGGGGGCGACCAATAAAATCGGTGACCAGGGTTCAAAATGAATTGATAATTACAATTTGCCGCCATCTAGATGATTGTGATGAACCGGTGGCAGTGGTGTTGGTATTCAATGACCTTAACGCGTTTGGCTGCGAATCGGGGTAAAAATGAGTCAAATATTGCACTTTAGGGTTGATATTTATTGGCGGACACTTACCCGGGTGACTTTGCACGGGCCCGGCAGCCTAAACGTGCGCAAACTGAGCCTGGTCGCCGTCCTGGCGTGAAGTGTGTTCAATATTACGGCCATTTTTATCACGTTTTAAGTGCATATAAAATAATTTTCTAGTCAGCTGTCAGGTAGACAGCGATCGCCCCGAGAGTGCGCTATAGTCGGAGGCAGTACTGTATTGTGTGAAGTGTATGTCGAGTACAGTGTTGTGACAATGTTTGTAGACTTTGTGCGTTTACTGAGCCCTCTGTTTGGCTACAGTTTATTCGCCCTAAGCATGGAATTAGGCATACAGTTTACCTTCGTTATTATGTACACTATAGTTGTTTTGTTAATTATGGTTGTTATTAATTAGTTGTTTTATTTATTATAACATGGTCGTTTGCAAAATATTATTAATTTAATTTAATCGTTAGTAATTATTTGTTAACAATTATAAACAATAGTTAAAACATAATTTTAATATTGACTAACTCAATGTATGGATGATTTACTGTATATATAACTATAACTAGAGGCGAGCCTATGGGTCGATTCACTCCCTACCTTACCCGAGTTAAGGAACAAGTTATTAAATAATAGACACAGGTAACACTAATCAAACAAATTAACCATGATAGTTCACCTAGAAAATAAATATATCCTTCATAAAATAATGAAAAACATAACAAATGCTAGCACAAAAAAATATCTAGATGGAAATACTAATACCGGGTAACCCATAACATACACCGGTATTTATTAGACTACACACTAGATCATATAGACATAAATAGTGTGTGCGCATGCGTGTTGGCACAAATATTTGTCTGGCATTAATACAGTGAACGCCAAAAGAGTTGTATTAATGTTTTGTGAGGCGTTTTTGCGCTATTCAGTACACTATACAGTCTATACACAGAGTGTTGTACTATTTAATCGCCCATTGAAACCAATGGCTATACAACACTACACCACAACAGTTCACACACACTATTAGTAACCCAATAGACAAAACTGACAATACGTTATCAATTCATTCATGTTTTTTGCTGTGACTGTCATTCAATAATTTTTGGTGTATATTTTGTTTTTTAAATAAGGTTAATTAATAATTATATATGAGTTTACTTTGTTTTTCGTAATTAACTTGTGTGTGTGTGTACCTTAGTCATTTATTGTTTGTTGTAACCTTGTGCCTTAGTGTCTGTGTTTGTTAGTGAAAGGTTCCCAAGGCACCTTTGTGCTATATTTTATTTTGGTAAGCTCATTTTTGTGAAAATATATGCGTGTATTACTCCTCAGGGGTACGGCCCAGTAAAATATGGCCATGTTGATTTTGTAATTAACCATAATTAGTTATTTGTAGAATAGCCAATATGTTTTTAGCAGTTTTGTAAGTGAGCTATGCTAGTGAGTTCAATTTTTATTACCCATCTAGGCTATTATCAAACTTCCTATTCAGTTATACATCAAAAAATAAATACACTATAAATAACTGTACACTAACTAAAAGTTCCTGAGTGATAGTGATGTTAGGGTAAATTACACAATGACATTTATGTTTTCAAATATTATTTAATAAGGTGTATGTTGTTTGTTAATTATTACACAACATTGCATAACAAACATTCACCTCAATAGGAAATGTACGACAAAATTTTGAGTGAAATCGTGAGTAATAAATTTATGTTTTCAAATATTATTTAATAAGGTGTATGTTGTTTGTTAATTATTACACAACATTGCATAACAAACATTCACCTCAATAGGAAATGTACGACAAAATTTTGAGTGAAATCGTGAGTAATATTAAATCTATGGGTAATTTTTTAGTGTAGCGATTAAATTACATTAAACAATACAATAAACTACAATACAAAATATACAATAGGGGTATAATTAAACCCATGTTAACCCTTTTCACCATCAGCGCCTAATTACGATCATTTTAATACAAACATCCAAATTATCTACATGCTAATATTTTTCTTACCTTATTCTCACCCACACCAGTGATAAAAGCAAACGGTTACTCACGATTGACACATAAATTCCCGGACAAATACATACGGGAATATTCCGCCGGTAGATTCCGGGCACACACAACACACCGGTAGAGGTGTTCACCGATTTGACGGACTGACCGGAGCGATGCCATTGGTTGAGCTGAGAGGCCTGTCGGCGCTGGAGGCGTGGTCTCGGAGGGCCACCACCGGGTATAAGGACGTGAAAGTGGCTGACCTGAGCAGCTCCTGGCGCGACGGTCTGGCCTTTTGCGCCCTAATCCACCACTTCAGACCTGATCTCATGTACTAATCAGCTTGATGCTATTTTCAAATATTTATTATAGCGAGCTCATTAATTTACTACTGAGCAGCTCCTGGCGCGACGGTCTGGCCTTTTGCGCCCTAATCCACCACTTCAGACCTGATCTCATGTACTAATCAGCTTGATGCTATTTTCAAATATTTATTATAGCGAGCTCATTAATTTACTGAATGCTTGTAATAAACATAATACATAATTTAGCGTAGGGTGTTGTTATAATCTTGGTGAATTATACCCCGCTGTTTAGTGTACAAAGTTTACATTTGTTTAATGAACAAGGTAGAGAGAAGGTGTTCGTTGTAATCAGGGTAATCTAATAGATTTAATCTAGTTAATTTAGTATGCAGTTAGATTGTGGTTAATTTGAATGAATTTATTTGTACATTATATGATAGGCTATGAAAATGTAGTGTTATTTTAGTATATTTTTAGTGTTGAGTTGACGTATTATTTAAGGCCATATTTATTATGTATGCAATAATAGTTGACTATTAGAGTGAACTGTAATTATATAATGTATTTTTGAAACTATTATTTTCAATAGTGTATTGAAATGTGTATACTTTGTATGTGTTGTTCAGTTCACTATATGTTTATACATAGGTTTTGTAGTTTTATTTTTTGGTTAGGAATTAGTTTTTTATTGCTATTAATATTGCTTTTGAAATGTTTTGTGTCTGAAAAACATTAATGTAAAACATTTTTGAAATGTATTTTTATTATTCATTTCTTTCAGAGAGAGGGAGAGAGAGAGAGATTGAAAACTATCATTTTGTATTAAAATCTCAATTTATATTTCTATCATTTATAATAATAACAAAATACTTATCGTTATTATTATTATAATAATAAAAACTATTTATTTAAAAATATTAAACATTTATCATTGAAATGCTGCGGAAATAAGTGTTCACACCATTTGAATAGCAAAACATTTTACAAAAAATAAATAAATAAATAAAAATACACAAAAAAACAAAACAAAACCTAAGGATAAAAATACTGTACCCAAAGTCCACACATACCTTAACACAGGTATACCGGTTCTCTCTCTCTCTCTACCTCTCTCTCTAAAAAGTTTTTTTTATAAAACTTTATAAGTTTTGTGTAAAAATTGCATTATTATTATGTATATAACTGTTTGAATAGAAATATGAATAGAATTTTTAAATACTATTTATTTTATTCACTTCTATATTATGTTTATTACAAAGTGTTTTATTTAAATTAATGCGCTTTTTATAATATAAAATTTGCATGTTTAGATTTATGTAACTTTTTACATTATTAAATTTTTATTAATTTTTATATTTTATTTCCGGCAGTGATTTCGATAGTCTATCAAAAGAGAATATTCTGTATAACAACCGTTTAGTAAGTATTTTGACGTTATTTTTATGTTTAACTTTTCTAACTTATATAATTTTTTATGTTACAAATTATTTATGGATTTAGCAAATGATTTATAAAACAACATATGATTTATACATGTATTTAATTTCCAAACAGTGTTTTATATTTAGTATTCATTTAAATATTTTGATTTATATTTTATTTTTGTTTAGTTTTTTGTAATTTCTTGTTTAGCATCGATTTATTTTGCATCTAATCTTTTGCTAAAGTATTTAAGTCTCTCTCTCTCTCTCTCTCTGATTAAAATTCTATATAATTTATACAGTGAGCACAAGTAACTTGTATGTCTAATATTTGTATCCTGATTAATTAATTAAATAATAACAAGATACATACTATTATTATTTAATGATTTAATCATTATAATTGTTACTAAATATATACTGTAAATTGCATTGAAAATAGTCATAAAATATGAAAAATTCTAAACATTAGATTAAACTATTTNAAAAATAAATACACTATAAATAACTGTACACTAACTAAAAGTTCCTGAGTGATAGTGATGTTAGGGTAAATTACACAATGACATTTATGTTTTCAAATATTATTTAATAAGGTGTATGTTGTTTGTTAATTATTACACAACATTGCATAACAAACATTCACCTCAATAGGAAATGTACGACAAAATTTTGAGTGAAATCGTGAGTAATATTAAATCTATGGGTAATTTTTTAGTGTAGCGATTAAATTACATTAAACAATACAATAAACTACAATACAAAATATACAATAGGGGTATAATTAAACCCATGTTAACCCTTTTCACCATCAGCGCCTAATTACGATCATTTTAATACAAACATCCAAATTATCTACATGCTAATATTTTTCTTACCTTATTCTCACCCACACCAGTGATAAAAGCAAACGGTTACTCACGATTGACACATAAATTCCCGGACAAATACATACGGGAATATTCCGCCGGTAGATTCCGGGCACACACAACACACCGGTAGAGGTGTTCACCGATTTGACGGACTGACCGGAGCGATGCCATTGGTTGAGCTGAGAGGCCTGTCGGCGCTGGAGGCGTGGTCTCGGAGGGCCACCACCGGGTATAAGGACGTGAAAGTGGCTGACCTGAGCAGCTCCTGGCGCGACGGTCTGGCCTTTTGCGCCCTAATCCACCACTTCAGACCTGATCTCATGTACTAATCAGCTTGATGCTATTTTCAAATATTTATTATAGCGAGCTCATTAATTTACTCAATGCTTGTAATAAACATAATACATAATTTAGCGTAGGGTGTTGTTATAATCTTGGTGAATTATACCCCCCTGTTTAGTGTACAAAGTTTACATTTGTTTAATGAACAAGGTAGAGAGAAGGTGTTCGTTGTAATCAGGGCAATCTAATAGATTTAATCTAGTTAATTTATTATGCAGTTAGATTGTGGTTAATTTTAATGCATTTATTTGTACATTATATGATAGGCTATGAAAATGTAGTGTATTTTTAGTGTTGAGTTGACGTATTATTTAAGGCCATATTATTATGTATGCAATGATATTGTAGTTGACTATTAGAGTGAACTGTAATTATATAATGTATTTTTGAAACTATTATTTTCAATAGTGTATTGAAATGTGTATACTTTGTATGTGTTGTTCAGTTCACTATATGTTTATACATAGGTTTT